AGTCTGATCATACTCTTTTTGTGAAGAGGAGTGGACCTCTGGCAGTATACCTCATTGTGTATGTAGATGATATTGTTGTGACTGGTAATGATGTTTCAGGAATTCATGATCCCAAATCTTTCCTCCATACAGAGTTTGAGATTAAAGATTTGGGGGAATTGAGATACTTCCTTGGCATAGAAGTTGCTAGATCCAGGGATGGGATTCTTATCTCCCAAAGGAAGTATGTTCTTGATTTGCTCTCTGAAACTGGGAAGATGGATGCTAGACCAATTGCTACTCCTATTGATATGAGTCATAAGCTCTCTGCTTCAAATGGAACATTGTTAGAAGACAAAGGAGTCTTCTAGAGACTTCTTGGGAAACTTCTGTACCTATGCATGACTCGGTCAGATATTGCATATGCTGTCAGTTGCATTAGCCAATTCATGCATGCTCCCCGAGACACTCATATGGCAACAACAGAGCGAATCCTGTGTTATTTGAAGGGCTCCCCAGGAAAGGGAATTTTGTTTGCCAAGCATGGTCATATGAAACTTGAAGCCTATACTGATGCTGACTGAGCTGGAAACATTGATGACAGAAGATCTACTTCTGGGTATTGCAACTTGGTGGCTGGTAATGTTGTTTCTTGGAGAAGCAAAAAACAATCAGTTGTTGCTCGATCTTTAGTAGAAGCAGAATACAGGGCCATGGCACATGGAGTTTCTGAACTATTGTGGCTAAAATCATTGATGGAGGAACTAGGGGTTGAGCATGACAAGCCAATGATGTTGTACTGTGATAATTAGGCCGCCATCAACATTGCTCACAACCCAGTGCAACATGATAGAACTAAGCATATTGAAATCGATAGACACTTTATTCGAGAAAGGGTCTCTTCGGGTGAAGTATGTCTTCCTTTCATCACATCTGAAGGACAGTTAGCAGATTTTCTCACCAAGGGCATTGCCAAGGCAAAACTTCAGCATGATACTGGCAAGCTTGGCATGATTGACATCTATGCTCAACTTGAGGGGGAGTGTAGAGAAGATGGGCCGAATGGCCCATAGGCTCCACCATCTCCTTCTTCACCCTCTACTCCATAGAAGAAGTATTTTCTGCTGTTCTTTTCGATTTCTTTTGATTTCTGCATCTATTCTAAACAGTCCCACACTCTCAACACGCCTAGGCTGAGGTACAAGGTGCATCAAGCACACACCTAGGTGCACCAGGCATGCGCCTAGGACCTAGGTGAGGTGCATACCCTAAAATGTGCCTCACTTGTGCACCTAAGGCGTGCTTAAATCACTGAACTTACCATGCTCAAAAAAAAATAAAAAGTTTTCCATCAACAGTTGGAAAAGTAAAGCTCCTTGGCAATGTTAGCATTATGGAGAAATGGTCAAACATATGGGTGTTGCCTATCACCTCTTGGTTGGCAAAGATGCACTATCTAACCAAAATTGGTGAAAGGTTGTATTAGATGCAAGAACAAAAGTATGCAAATTTAGGGTGCAAAGACAGATTCACATACATCAGAATTGTTTGATCATCAAAGGAGAATTTATTTGAAATTAAAGTTAAATGTTTTACAACTTTGTGTAGGGGGCTAGAAGTCCCACACTATTACATATTTCTGTCCCTTTTTACAATGCAACCCAAAACAATCGTTGCATCAAAACCCCTTGTTTAGCAAGATAATCAACTAGCCCATTTGCACTCCTTCTAACCCATTTGAATTCTGCCTCTACCTCCCTTGCAACCTTTTCCACTTCCCTTATTACTTGTTTGAAAGTCCACGGAGTAGTTCTATTGTTTTTAACCCAAGAGATGATCACCTTGGAATCCCCTTCAACATCAATATGCCTCACTCATAGTTGCTTGGCTATCTTCAATCCTTGTAGCAATGCCATTACCTCAGCTTTTACAGAGTTGCCCATGCCAATAGGTCCAGAGAATAATGCTAATATTCTCCCTTCAGAATTTCTGATTACTCCCCCAATACCTGACAATCCCAGATTTCCAAATGAACTTCCATCAAAATTCAGTTTAATTCTGTTACCATCTGGAGGTTTCCATTCTGTCCTTACTCTCTCTTTCACTCTTGAAGATTGTGCTACTTCTGTCCAGGATCTTATAATGTTTGTGACTGAGAACTCTTGGAAAATATGCAAAGAACTTACCCAATGAGCTACTTTAACTTTGATTGTGTTAATTACCTCCTCCATTGTTCTACTCTTGTCCAAGAATATTCTGTTATTCCTTTCTTCACATATATCAGAATTGTTAAAATACCATCATCATCATCCAAGCCTTATCCCAACTATATGGGGTCAACCACATGAATCGTTTTCGTCATTCTATTTTAATACCATATCCATTGTTATATTATGGGAACTCATTTCTAACTACTTCAACACATATCCCTTTTGGTCTACTCCTAGCCATTCTAGCCCCTTCAAGAAATTGTTAAAATATCAAGGGCCAAAAACCATGTAGCAAAATCATCACTATAAGCATCTGATATAATTCCCCTATTTATGTCTTCAGGAAATGCCAAGCAAGAAAGCAATCAAGATATAGACTGTTTCAGAATGTAGGACTGTGTTATAGGTTTGCTTTCAAACTGCTATTTTGCTTAAACCATCCTGTGACGGTTTGACCATCTAAAATTGCCTCTAGATTTGTCACCAGGTGGCAACTTCGTTTTGGTGCATACACACCAAAATGGAGCTTTCCATAATTTGGACGCAGAGTTCACATCAAGATTAACAAAAGATCATACTTGTCTTCAGAAAGAAATAATGAGTATGAACTTTGCATAACTATTCAGAAAAAACAATAAAAAGCTCCTTGTTTCAAAACTATTGCTGACAAACCGGCCAGGGTAGGTTTAGACCATTTTGGCATACTTCCCTTTCTTACCACCAACTCACATTGAGACATGAGTTAGAACTCAAGAAGGAAACATGAATATGTGGAGAAGACTGTGGACTGAAACTGCCTAGCTCTCGAGTCTAGTTGTGCTGAGTAGAATGTAAATTACCATAACCAGGTTTAGACAAGGTGTCAATGCCATATGTTTGTGTCATAAAAATGTTAGAAAAAAATTAAAAATCCAAAATTAAACACCTAAAAAATTTAGCATAATGCATATTGTATAACCCAGCATCATAGTAGAAGATGAAATAGAAAGAAAACTACCTCAAGCCGACGAACTTGTTCAACATCCTCCCCATCATGGCCTTTTTCAACCAGACCTGATTCTTCTGAGTTGGCTGGTGTTTTCCTTAGGCTGACCTCATTGGGACTAAGAAGAGCATTGAGAATATGAATAAGACAGCACAAAATCCCAGAATCAATGAGAGATTGTTTGTCAACCGGCTGCAAACATGAAGGAATAAAAGATTTCAAAAGTGTGAATAAAGACTACTTATTACATGTATGTGTATTCTCAACTTCCACCAATAACAGAACAATACAAAAGAACAGTCATAAATTCAAAAGGTCATAGTTACTTAAATATATTGCCTTTAATAACTTAAAAAGTCTCTTTTTATCTGAATTGCTTTTCAGCCTTTTCTTAGAAAGCATCTGAATTGCATATTAAACCTAAAAATAATGGAGAACAGAATATAAGTGATCATTGTCAAGACAGAGTATCAGCATTTTTTTTTATTTTGATAAATAGTATCAGAAAAAATTATTGCTAACAGAGTTCAGAATATTTAATATTTAATATATATATATATATATGTATGTATATGTATGTATATATTGCCAGCAACATGGGAGAGATACTGGCATGCTCCCAGAATTCAATTTCAGATTATGATAGCCTCATTCAAATTGAGCTTCCTGACGGGCATTACTTCAACCTCAGGATAAGTAGGTAAAAGACATTCACCTGTTCAAATTAGTTGGCTTCAGTTAAAGGGTCAAACAACAAATCAATGTAATTAATCATTGGTTCTAAGGTCTAATCAGGACCTGCCTAACCCCACTTTAACTACCCAAAAAGGCATTTTCAATTTTTTCTACAATTCTCATGCCTTAGAAGAGCATGTCTACTATTGAAACATTCCAATTTTAATTGAAGACTACTCGGTTTAAAATGTCCAGAATCTTCCAAAGTTCATACTATGACAAAACATCATAATCATCACATCAAGTGTTAGGGTTGGATGGATAAAGGCAAAATCAATGTTCAGAGAACTGGACCAGGCATAGAACCGGAAAAGGGAGAGGTTAACAGGTCAGAGGTTCAACCGGGGTCAAGCCATGATGACGTGGCATATATGTATATATACCGTGGGTCATATAGACACTATATATTATATATTTAACAATGTATATCATGCTTGAATGTGGTGGACAGATGGCAAGTTTCTTACTTTTTAAAGTAAATGACCATGGTTCAAGCCTCTTAACTCATATTTTCTTTAAAATATGTGTATGATAAAGTAATATATACAATAAAGAGTCATTAATTGACACAAATAAAGGAATGAATTAAAGGTAATTGACCAATACACATAAACAAGAGGTCATGGGTTCAAGTCTTGCCATTGCCATTTTGAAATTTCATCTCTGTTAGTGACTCGGATGGTTTTATGAAACTGGTTTACCGGTTATCTAGTTAAACTGGCTGATCATCCGGTTTTGGTGGGTTTTATATCAGATCTGGTTTCCAGTGTATGATCGAACTGGCCAATGCCCCAGGTCATGGTTCAACCAGTCCGACCGGCCAGCCCATCTAGTTTTCTAAATACTGGGCAAAATCAAGAAAACTGTATTGATTATACAAGTTGTCTTGGTCTCATTTTTACAAGGAGAAAAGAAACAGTTAAGTTCTTCCAAAACCACTATATAAAAAGATAAGAAGAAGAAACGGTTAAGTTCTTCCAAAATCACTATATAAAGTTAGATATGCAAATTTGACAAAGCTCATAGAGATACCTCAGATACAAGGACTTCAACTGCATGCAATAAATTTGAACCAGGACAAATGTCACCCTGCATAAAAACATCCATTAACTAAATTCAGGGAACACTTTTATATTACAGGAAATTGGGGACAACCAGATAAAAGCATCTAAAATGCAAACCTTTGTGACTTTTGAAAAGAACCTCAAGACTTTTAGAGCGTCTAATGATCTTGTTTTGCTACTGATTTTCAACTTCTCAATATCTGTTACAAATGCTCTTCCCACAACAAAAGAGAAAATGTGCGCTTCAACTAACCTGTAGGTTGTCAGAAATTCAAAGATTGATTAATGGTATTCACTCAAAAAACCAACCATAAAGATTGAGAAAAGACAATGTTTTTTTTTTCTTGTGGCATATCTCACCTGCACTCAAGAAGCAACAAAACAAGCTATACACAAATACAAAACATGTTTTCTGAAATACCTCATATTACATGATAACTGATAAGCATATTCTATCCAACAAGGCCAAATTATTTCTCAATCATTTCTCTCAGACGAAGAAGAAAAAATTCAAAAGACAGGAAAAGTAACAGATAAATCCAAATGAATTAGAAGCATATATTTTCTTAACAGGTTTTCTACTAGAAGTTCATGCAACCTATCATGTCTTTGACATAATTGTTGATTGGTTGATGAAGATACTACATACATAGAAACTAGAATTGCTTGTTTGCATAGGTTTTACTAAGCATGATGCAAATGGTACTCGGAGTTTATATGTCAATTTGCTGATCAGAAACTCAAGTTATTAAATATAAATATTGATGTCTTTCCCTACCTCTACCATTTCTTTACCCATGAATTCATATGTTCTTGGGCAGAGAGACAGATCTGGCATGGTACAATGAAGTGTGTGACACAAATAGTCATTACGCAGGTCAAGATGTTGCCCAACTAGGCACCTTCCTGACCCCTGGATATGCAAAGGACAAGGCAATACCTCTTTCTCTCTAGACCTTGACTTTTATAACCATGTTTTAAGCATAATATTTAACTACTTATGCAACTGATTACTAGAACAGTTAATAGTTGTGATTTGGTTTCCCATACAAAGTGTTGAAGATCATTATTAATGTTCATGCTGCCTTTATGAAATCTCCTCGCCTTCTCCATATGGAAACACATGCTTATATGTGCAAAGATAAGATTATAATTCCATGTATTATTCTTTTCATTATTATTCTGACCTACCATAATAGGAACACTTCCAGGTATACATAGAAAATGTTGTTTTGGGGTTTAGCTTGCCACTTGTCACAAGGAACCTGCCTATGTATGCACCATGCTGGCAGATTGCTGTATTGACAACTTTGACACTTACAGAATGGTCATTTCACAAGCAGAATAAAAAGAGGTATAATAAGAAAAATTAGATTAGATTCCCTGTTCACATACTATAAGGTTATAAGCATATCGAAACCAGAAAAGCTCTATATCTAATTCCTTTTTTGTTGAACTTTCAGCAATAAATCTTGCAAACATCAGCACCTTTACAACATGAAGCATAAAAAAGTCCCCACTTATGACAAGGAATAGTTCTTGCAAATTTGGTATGCATGGAACAATGGGTTAAGTCAATTGAGGAAGAAAAGAGAAATGCATACATGCTAACTAACTGAGATATGTTTGTGTACTGCTTCACTAGTCTACAAAAAACATCTACAGCCATGTTCAAGGCCGCTTCTTTCTCCTGCATGGAAGATTTACAAGCTGTTAGCACTAATTACAGCAACGATTGAATAAATTTCAATGTATCACTGTAAAAGGTAACCTTTTCGGAGCTGGACAATCGGAATTCCTCCCAAAATCTCCTGAAATCCAACTCCAGTTCATGTTTATTTCTGCTTTCACAAATACATCAGACAAGAGCCCCGCAACATTAGGCATTTGAAAAGAATGACAAGCAAAACAATATTGGATCTATTCATGGCTATTTGCATACAACAAAGTAAAAGAATATAAAAGTTTGACAGAGATATAAAGAAAAGGAAATAAGCAACCGAAAGATATTTTTTAAGCTTTCATTTCAAAGATATAGGAGACCATAAGAAAGCAAGGAAGTATTTATGTATGAATTGACTGAGTACAAGTAATGGAAAATAGTGGCATTCTTCCATGGAGCTCCAAGTTTAGGCTATAAAGAAACAAGAAATGCACAAATATATGACCCTGAGGAAGAAGTGAAAATGTAAGGAAAAAAAGAAATACTTGGCAGTTTGTACCAATAAATATATTTTTATTTATTAAGTTGTGATAAAAGAATAAGGTCCAAAAATTAGATTGTGCAAAGCAGCCCTTTTTAATAGACTAGTGCTTGCTCTGTACCTGCTCCTCAATCTCTTTCTTTTCTCTTATTTTATTGTAATACAATCATCACCCTGATTGACAATCCCCCAATACATCTGATTTCTAACATCCCCTTGCCTTGCTAATGCATCAGCTATACTATTGGTTGATCTATGAATCCAGTCAGAACTTTTACTTTCCTCATAGTGTGCCTATATTTCCAGGAACCTATAGTGTTATCCTTCATCCATCCCACCACATCACAGCCTTGCACCAGCAAAAATCTTTCAGCACTTTATCTCACACAAAAAATGGTTTACTATGACCAAGTATTTGCAATAAAGCCAATATTTTCCCATTTTAGAGATTCAAGCTGTGGAATCCACAAGATCAATACCAAGGGTGTATCCCTTATACATGGTTGATATTTCAGTGCCACCACAAATCACAACACACATTTTCTAAATTAAAATTCCTTATTAGCAAATGTTAGGGAAATTGTACTGGTGTTAAGAAGATCCTGATAGTCAGTTAGATCCTTCTACAACAAATTAAATGAGATTGAGATCAGTGTTTTAAAAGCGCAAGGGCCAATTTGCGCCTGAGGCGCAAGGCGCAAGGCAAGGCACGTGCCTTTTTAAGAAAGGCGCAAAATTACAAAATAAAAGGCTAAAAAATCAAAAAAAAAAGTCAGAAAATTCAAAATAATGCCAAAAAATTTTAAAAAAATGCAAAAAATATTAAACATAATGTTAATAAAAAATATAAACTTAAATTTTAAAATAAATGTTTTAAAAAACCTATTATCTAAAATTAAAATACATAAACATAACATGTAAAGCGTATTTAAATGAAAATTTAAAAATAAAAGCAAACATATAAAGCATTTTCAAGCATGTAAAACCCACAATCTCTTTTTTTCCTTAATTGCATTGCTTCAAGTAGCTAATGTCATGTAAAATATATTGCATTCTTGATTCTATGAGTCGCCTTTGTACCACACCCCTCGAGGCAAGCCCGAACTCCGAGAACCCCCTATTTGCTAATGTTGTTCATTCATTCATTGCAATAAAATATCTTCTTAAAAGGCAATGAAAGTTATAAAATCATTATTTTTTATGTGAGACATAAGAATTTCAGACCCTAACATAGACTTGTTCGAGCTTGCCTCGAGGGGCGTGGTCAGGGGTCCAGGGGCAGAGTCCCCAGCCCAACCATTAGACTCAAAAAAAAGCAAGGTGCACACCTGCACTGAGGCGCAAGGCGCATCAGTCGCACGCCTAGGCGCACCAGGCATGCGCCTTTTGAAAGGGTGCGCCTAGGACCTAGGCGAGGCGCATACCCCAAAATGCGCCTCGCCTATGCACCTCAGGCACACCTTTTAAATCACTGGTTGAGATGGTAAATTTTCCAGAGGGCAGTGTATGGAATACTGTTGCTCCTCTCAAAGTGACCTTTTTATGTAGACTGCAACTCTAGGGAAGTGCTCAACAGTAGATAAGTTGGCTAGAAGAGCACTGAGGGTGGAGCCCAGCAGGTGTGTTATGTGTGCGGAAGTTTCTGAGGACCTGGATCATCTTCTTATTCAATGCAGACAAGCAAGGATTGTACAGGTTAAGTTCTGAATGTTTTCTAGCTTCGCTTTTGTTTCCCAAAAAGTTTGATTGCAGAGGTTGCTTTTAGTTCAGTGGAAAATTTTTCCAGTTGTAAAGCTTCTTCTAACATCCAGTGGGTGTGGGAAGGACTCAGGAATTACAAAAAATAAATCTTAGCAGGGTATTGACTGTTTTCAATCCAGTAACAGCTCCAGCAGGTCTTAAACCTTGTCTTTCTCTTTGAGACTACAGCTGTAGGTTGCTATTAGAAGTAGAACATGTCTACAATATCAGGAGAAGTGTCCTCTAAGGACAATAGGACTGGTGGGAGATCCTCAATCCTGGAAAACCCAAATCTACGTAGTCTGCAAATCACCAGTGTGTTGTTAGATAAATACAACTTCAGAGAATGGTCTGTTTCAGCCAAGCTTTTGATTACTTCCTGGGAGATTATGGGTTCTATAGATGGACAAAGAATGAACCTAAAGAGGACGATGCTGAATACTAAAACTGGCGCAAGGAGAATGCTATTGTTATGTCCTGGTTGTTTGCTTCAATGACTCCAAGGGTAGCAAAGACTGTTCAACACTTCCCTAGAGCCTCTAAGATTGGGGAGAAGGTGTCTAAAACCTAAGGACAACAGAAGAACAATGCAAGAATTTATAGACTAACCCAAAATATTGTTGCATTGAGGCAAGGGGATATGTCTATTGCAACTTATTTTGCAACCTTAGAATGGCTATAGGAAGAAATGGACCACCATCTTGTACTTGATTGGGAAAATGCAAGAGATGAGGAGAGGTATGATAAACAAATAGAAGAAGGCAGAGCTTTTAAGTTCTTGGCTAGCCTAGACCCGATATATGAAAGTGTAAGATCCCAAACTTTGGGAAGTGATGAGCTTCCAATTTACATCATATTTGCTATCTTGTAAGGAATGAAGAGGTTAGAAGGAAAGAGATGCAAGTAGACACCCACGTGCAACCTATTGAGCATTCAGCCTTGATTTCTTCAAGCCAAAAAGGGGGCAAGGGTTCAGACAAGAGGTACCTCAAGTGCTCTCATTGTGGAGGAGACGGACATTTGAAAGAGATCTGTTGGATTCTTTATCCTCACCTAAAAAGCCAAACAGCAAGTGGAAATGTTGTCATAAGTAACAGTGTTGAAATCCCAAAAAACACACCCACAGTTGTACCTCCTCCAACGGGACAGACCACTAGTTCCCACACATCAGGATCCTTTTTTGATTTCACAGCTGATGAGGTAGAAATCCTTAGCCGAGCCATCAACTAAAGAACAATCCACTTGCATCCACCTCTCTTGCCAAATCAAGTATTGTCTCTGCTCACAATGTGACTGATCCTATAGTATCTAACTCTTAGAGTTATTAATTCCGGTGCTACCAACCATATGACACACATCTTCTTTATTTTCTTCTTGTCGTTTGATGTTTGGACAAGATAAGATGAGAGTTGCTGATGATTCCCTCTCCACCATCTCTARAACGGGGGGGCGGGGGGGAGTTAACCTAGGCAAGGATCTCTCTCTTAAATTTGTTTTGCATGTTCCCAATCTTGCTTCAAACCTATTATCTGTTTCTAATCTTACAAAAAACTTAAATTGTAGCATAACATTCTTTCCTATTCATTGCGTCTTTCAGGACAGATTGACAAAGAGAATGATTGGGAGCAGTCATGAGTCAAGAGGTCCTTATTATTTTGATGCAGACATCAATTTAGCTTTACAGTCATCTACTTTCAGTGGTTGAGATAATGAGGAGCCAATAGCTAGGTTACATTTGTGGCAAGCTAGGCTAAGTCATTTGCCTTTTTCTTTGATGCAATGATTGTTTCCTGAGTTGTTTAAGTATGTTTCGAGTCAGAGTTTGGTCTGTGAAGTGTGTCAATTGTCAAAACAATGTAGAATTCTTTATCCAATTTCTAGTAATGAAATTCAATCTCCTTTTGATTTAGTTCATTCTGATGTGTGGGCCCTACACCTCTTGTTTCTATAGATGGTTTTCGTTATTTTATCAGCTTTATTGATCACTATTCACGATTTACATGGATCCACTTGTTAAAAGAGTGTGATGAAGTTCCACGAATAACCATGGTATTTTATAAAATGACTAAAACTCAATTTAGCGAGAAAATTAGGTAGTTTCGCTCAGACAATGTTGTTGAGTATTTTGAAAGCTCCTTGAATCTATTCATGAAGGATTTAGGTATTTTGCATCAATCATCTTATGCCAGTACCCCTCAACAAAACAGGATTGCTAAGCACAAGAATAGACACTTATTGGAGATAGATTGACCCTACTATTTCAGCAAAGGTTTCCAAGAACTATTGGTCTCAAGCAGTCCTTATTGCATCGTATTTAATAAATAGAATGCCATCTAGGGTATTGGGTATGAGAACTCCATTTTCTATCATTTGTCCTAACCTCCTAGATTTCCCTCTTCCCCCTAGAGTTTTTGGTTGTGTGTGCTTCATCCATGTCAAGGATCCTAAGAAGACAAAGTTGGACCCTAGGGCTATAAGGGGGGTCTTCCTAGGGTATTGTCCCACACAAAAAGGTTACAAATGCTATGATCTGGTTACCAAGAAAAAGTATGTCACCAAGGATGTGGTGTTTTTCGAATCTCAACCTTATTTTCAGTCCTGTAGGAATCCTCTTCAAGGGGAGACTAATAGGATGGAAGAGGATCCTTCCTCTCCTTCCTTATTTGTGCCACTTTCAGCTTCGGGTCTTCCATCTTTTCCTCCTGATCCCCCTAGTTCTAGCTGTCCAGGTGAATCTAGTGAGACTCCTGTTGAACCTGTTACTACTCTAGATGTTGAGGATGGAACTGATGCCATTAATAAATAGCAGAGAGATATGAGAATTGTCTACAGAAAAAGGAAAAGAGGTCATCCAACTTGTGGCAACAACCAACCGGACTCAAATCAATTTGTTATCT